CAGGAAGTATTTCAGTAGCAGAATGTAGGGTGACAGAACAGTACGTTAGCGGAATTATCACTCTAAATTCCCCTTATTCTTATATCCTTTCTCTTACCTGGCCACTCTTGAAAACAGGATACTGAGGTAAAGGGACTGAGTACTGCTTTTCTTCTACTTCATCAATTGTTTTTTCTTTATCATGTCTGGGACCTATTTCTTCCTACCATTCTTGCATAAAGACAGAGGGAAAAATGTCCATACTAGAAAGGCTGTTGAAAATATACAGAAAAAAATTCCACTTTGCTTATTCATTACTTTCTGACACACCTAAACCATTATTGTAATATAGAGATACCCAAGTTCTTCAGAAAGAAATCATAGAATGATAGAATGCTTTGGGTTGGAAGGGACCTTAAAGAACATCTAGTTCCAACCCCCCTGCCATGGGCAGGGACACCTTCCACTAGACCAGGTTGCTCAAAGCCCCATCCAACCTGGCCTTGAACACTTCCAGGGATGGGGCATCCACAACTTCTCTGGGCAACCTGTTCCAGTGCCTCACCACCCTCATAGTGAAGAATTTCTTCCTTATATCTAATCTCTCATAGTGAGAATTTCTTCCTTATATCTAATCTAAATCTCCCCGCTTTCAGTTTAGAGCCATTACCCTCTGTCCTATATCACTACATGCCCTTGTAAAAAGTCCCTCTCCAGCTTTCTTGTAGGCCCCCTTCAGGTACTGGAAGGCTGGCTGAAAAACCCCAACTCTCTCAGCCTGTCTTCATAGCAGGGGTGCTCCAGCCCTCTGATCATCTTCGTGGCCCTCCTCTGGACTTGCTCCAACAGGTCTATGTCCTTCTTATATTGGTGAAAATGTCAGTTTTGAACTTATATCTACTATCACCATAGTAGGTATGGAGTTTTGTCCTTTCTAAAGCTTAAAGTTTTGTGTTCATTAAGTTTATTAATATTTGCACTATTACAGATACTTTATCTTCTGGTAGTATTACAGTTTAACTATTGAAAATCTCCCTTTTTTTTTGGCTCTGTATAAGAACAGAGTTGCTCTCTGTTCCTTCTGTAAAGAGATAGGCACTCTGTGGATTTATAGATGGGAAAATGCTGCCTGAAACCAACATTCATGCCTAGACTAGCAAGCAGTAACTAGTTTAACTGATATGGTTGAACTAGCTTAACTACTGCATGTTGATTCCAAATATCAAGTGCTCACATAGCAATAGTTATTCTACAGTTCATTGGTGATACAAATACAGCAAAAATCCATATATACGGCATAATTCTGTTGAATCAATGAGAGCACATGGAGTGACTAAGCCAGCTGATTCTAGCTATGTTGCCTTTAGGACCCCAGTCTGCACTACAGGTCTTTTGAGCTCCCGCCAGTGCACCGTGCAATGCTGATGCTACTGTGCTGTGGGACTTTGTAAATTTAGTCTAACAGGAGCATAATGTCAGCAGAGCTACAGCAACTTAAATTAATGCCTTAACATATCTTGCTTTATATAATTAAATTGTTGAAGAGAGAGTAAGACAGGCAAACATCAGGTGAAAAGCATAAAGCACAGAGGTAGGATCCGCACAAGTTTTGATGGTGTCATGTTAAAGATGTGTGTCGGTGTGTTTCATTAAATATTTTCAGTGGAGTTTCCTTCCTAGTGGAATGATTAAACAGAATATCACAGAATCCCATAATGGCTGAGGTTGGCAGGGACCTCTGGAGGTCATCTGGTTCCACCCCCCTGCTCAAGTAGGGCCACCTAAAGCAGGTTGCCCAGGACCGTGTCCAGATGGCTTTTGTATATCTCCAAGGAGGGAGACTCCACAACCTCCCTGGTCAAACTGTACCAGTGCTCAGTCACCCTCACAGTGAAACAGTATTTCCTGATGTTGAGAAGGAACCTCCTATGTTCCAGTTTCTGCCCATTGCCTTTTGTCCTGTCTCTGGGCACCACTGAAAACAGCCTGGCTCTGTCTTCTTTACACCATCCCTTCAGGTATTGATATACATGATAACATACACATTGATGAGATCCCCCCTGAGCCTTTGCTTCTCCAGGCTGATCAGTTCCAGCTCTCTCAGCCTTTCCTTATAAGAGAGACGTGCCAGTCCCTTTAGTCATCTTTGTGACCCTTCATTGGACTCTCTCCAGCATGTCCGTGTCTTTCCTGTACTGGGGAGCCCAGAACTGGACACAGCACTCCAGGTGTGGCCTCATCACTGCTGAGTAGAGGGGAAGAATCACCTCCCTCGACCTGCAGGCAATACTTTGCCTAATGCAGCCCAGGATACCATTTGCCTTCTTTGCCACCAGGGCACATTTCTGGCTCACGTTCAACTTGGTGTCCACCAGGACCCCCAGGTCCTTTTCTGCAAAGCTGCTTTCCAGCTGGATAGCCCCCAGTATATATATCGGTGCATGAAGCACACACATGAAGCACACAGGGGTGGAGATATTGGCAGGATAGTGTTAAGCTGGATCAGAAGGAAGGGAAGCGAGAAGGGAGGTGGCCTGTGGCAGACAGAAGTGGATGACTGAGCACTGTCAAGGGGAGACCATCTAAGCGCATACCATGGGAGGCACTGTAATGCCATCCTGTATCAGTACCCACCAAAGCCGCTCAAACTGTATTTGGTAAAACCTAAATACGTGACAGGAAAGATGAACTAATCCACATAGGCAAGCTGCTCATAGAGCTGTAGAGCATTTTGCAGTAGAAACTGATAAATATGAGAAACAAAACAAACTCCAACTCAATTGAAAGTTTTGAAATCCCTCATTTCTGAAGCCCAATGCTTGGGCTAAAGACTACTACTTTAAATTGATTTACGTTTATAACAGTCACCAGCCCTAGGCATGCTTTACAGCATTTTTGAAAGTAAATGATACTTTTGCAATTATATTAGACACAAAAAACCCTGAAGTTCATGCTCATTAGCTCTAAATAGTCAAAGATATTTATACACGCATGTCTTGAATTATCATATACTGATAAGGAAATGAAACACCTGAATAAAGATGTATTACCATGTATTACCATTGACACTGCTTTGAAGTAAGTAGAACTTACATCTTAGAACACAAAAGCATATGAAGAGCTGGAATTCCTCTTTTCAAAAAATGGTAAAACAGTAATCAATTAAAATCCTTTCTTATAACTTATTCTCTTTTTCCATACCTCATTTTATGCAGAGAATTATCAAGGTCCTTAATTTCTGAGACTCTAAAAATAATTATTCTTAGAGAAACAGAGAGAAGGCTTATTTTATCCACTATACTTTGTACCTTTTTGCCTTAGATAATTAGGAACATTAGTTCATGAATTGCAATACCTAGGGAATACTGTCATTAGCAGGGGAATGTTCTCTGGTACCCTGAGGAAATGAAAAGCTTTTAAGAGCAATCACTGTTAATCACTAACATGCCAACATTATATACCTTCTGGAACTGAGGATGATATATAGACAGGACACATTAAGTAACCCTGTACTTTACTTGCATTGTAGGCTTTTGATAAAAATGTAGTTTTAAAACATCCATTTTCATGGCTTGCTTTCACTACAAAATACATGATATCTAAGAATTCTGTAAGATTTACACTTCTTCTTTTACAAGCTATTGAAAACCTTCTCTCTGATTCCATAGTTGAGCTTCATTGTGCTTTTAGCATTATTATACTTTGTTACACAATTTCACTTGAGTGGTAAATGCCAAGGGCAAGAAGAAAGCCCTTTTGTAAGGGTGAAAGAAAAACTAAATCAAAAGGTGATAAATGCAATTAAATTTATTTTTACCTCCAGCTCAGCAGGAGACTTAGCACCCGAACAGTTGCAGTACTCATAACTGAGTACATAGATTAACATTACACACTCATGATTTGCAAGCAATTGCTATTTTTCAGGTTTTTTTAATATCAAGTATTTTCTATCCAGTGTTAATGGCATATAATATCCTACAGAAGTGTTAATCACATGAAAGATAGAATAAAACAGAGAGAAAAAGGCTATTTTCTTAAGAAAGCAGGGCTTTTTTTGTATAGTATTAAAAAAATGAGGGGCAGCTCTTCCTTTTGGTATAGAGCCAGAATTTAATACTACTTAGTAAAATCTTTTTGTTAGTATTTTCTATCCAATGTTAATGGCATATAATATCCTACAGAAGTGTTAATCACATGAAAGATAGAATAAAACAGAGAGAAAAAGGCTATTTTCTTAAGAAAGCAGGGCTTTTTTTGTATAGTATTAAAAAAATGAGGGGCAGCTCTTCCTTTTGGTATAGAGCCAGAATTTAATACTACTTAGTAAAATCTTTTTGTGTCTTATTTCTCTGCTGTACTAACCATGGGTCCCTTACATGCCAGCACCAAGCCCAGCACCACAGGACAGCAAGTACACACTGGAAAAGGAGGCAGACTGCATTCGTGCACTGGGGTCCTCAGTGGGGATCCCCGCCAACTAAAAACAGTGGACCTGCCAATAGAGCACATATATCAGCAAAAAAAATCACAAATGATGACTCCCAGTAAAGGGATCTGACAAGTTTATATAATTGGGGAGCTAGGAAGGACTGAAGAAGTCATCTACTGCTGTCCACCTAACAAAAAATTCCTCCAGTGCAATTTATGCCAATTACTTCTTGTGATAGCTATTGTGAACACAAAAATCAAAATCTTTCTTCTCACTGACCAAATTCTTCAGGACTTCCGTTCTCTCCCATTATTTCATCTTTAGACAAACAACTCCAACACAATTTTCAATCTGTCCTTGAACAAAGTCCTACTATACTAAGTTATAATTATTCTCTTCTGGATGCTTTCTAATTTATCTGCATCTTTTGGTCATTAAATGGCTCAGTTGTTGCAGAGTGGTTATTTCCTCACCTGACCAGACATGCAGTATTTAGTTACTGAATCCCATGAGCTCCATTGCCAGTCATACTGCTGAGATTGCAGTGGCCTATCCTGTAAATGGATAGTAAATTCAAAAAGGAAGTGCTTACATTCTTGAAACCTCTATATAAGATCTGAAGTTCCTTCTTTGTGAATTTACTCTGTGCTTCCAGCAGCTCAAGAGCTTCAGGTCTATGTCGTACTGTGGCCATTTCCATTTCATCTTCTACAGTGTCTGCAGAACACAAGAGACAGAGAAGGAAAGCTCAACAAGAAATACAGGATACAGAAATATCTAAGCCTTGCAGAAAAAAAGAAAGTTAAATGACATTCTTCTAAAGAACGGCTTTTGCAGCTTTAAAGACAAATAGCATGTTCATTTTGAACTCACTGTCTGCTTCAGTGGCTGCACATAGCATGGAACAGCAGTGATGATCCAGCAGCCTGGATATTATCACATCAGTACAAATAGCAATAAACTGGAAAGCCAATGTTACGCAAGGGCATGCATGACACATTCAGAATGACTTTTCTGTTTCTACAACTCTCTGAGCAAAAAAAACAATTTTATAAAAATTTAGTGACTCCAGAATACTGGAAATTTTCCCTTGGTTAGTTAATGGATGTGAATTCACTGTATCAGACTGGGTTTCTCAGTGTTCTCCTTTTACCATGAAGTTGTGCTTTGGAAAGTGTGTGAGACTGATGTTGCACGTTCAACAGTACACTTTACTTTGAGTACTGTGTAAAAAACCCTTCAGGGCAACATGATTATTCACGGTGAGCAGCTTAAGTGGGGAACATGAGTATTTTAGTGACCTCATCATTACGTGCATAAGAATCTGGATATACACATTTAAGACTTACAGCTGAGTGCAGCCCTAAAAGAATGTGAGATATTAATGCATTTTTTTCCAGGTAGAGTTTTAAAAGTGAAAGTTCAATAAAATAGCTAAAGAAACTTACAGTATGTATTTTTATATGGGGTGCCAGCCATATAACTGATCAAAAATATGAATGTGTGCATCTGTTTTTAAGTACTCCCAGCATTAAACAGTTTATGTAGTACTCCAGATTAATTTAATCAAATCACTGCCTTATTCTGGTTTAAGAGTTATACCAACTATAGAAATGTAACTTGAGAGAAAACAAACATGCATAATTGTCACTTCTACAATGCTGAAGATATATATTTTATTTCATTTCATCGTGGTGTGGGACTCTGCATTCTTAAAGTTTTATTCAGTTCAATTTTCATAAGAGCACAATATTAGGATACTCCATTAAAACAGTATTATGCTTACATCTTCACATATTTTTGTTCTGCTGCAATGCAGTAATAATAACTTTCAGCTGCTTAGGAGAAATCTGGCATCAGAAGATACAGTTCAGCTTAACAAAAAATGAACAACCTTTAAATAGATATAATCATAATATATAAACTATTTGGATAAATCTTCACAAAATTGCAGGGCCTTGTCTTTTCTCCTGTCAAAGAGATGTTGCTGTTAGCACTTATCTGAGGAAGATGATCTCCCAGATGATCTCAGTGTCACCTGCGTTCTTATCTCAGAATGTCCATTGTGTACTGGTTTATGGAAAACTATAATATGTTTCTCTTTAATTTTTCTTTATAGATTATCTCATATGACTTGTAGGCCACTACCATCTTTGTGAAAACTTCCAATCTAAATGCTCTTGACAAAAACCCCAACAGACACAACTTTACATTGACCTTATGATGTCTGATAATAGTTTTAAAGGGCCAGTATCTGAACTCACAAGATTATAAGAAAATTTCAGCTCTCTTCTTTAATAAGACACTCTGAGGTGCAAAAAGGAAGTCTTGAAAATCCTGCCTTTATAGATGAAATTCGAATAAAGTAGTTCCAGTGTTAAGAAGCTGTCTTCTCAATTTATGGAAGGTGTAGCAACATTCTTGAGTCCCATTTTAATTCTGCATAAGAACATCCAGGATTTATTTTGCACAGTTTCTAAAGCATTTCCATCATCTCTTAAGGGATTAAACTTTTATATTCTCTATATAGTCACTAAAGTCTCTATAACAATGTCACGCTGTAGATATGCAGCCGAATTTTTTTTGTCAACTGCAAGTCAACACTAGGTGCTTATACTAAATTGACAAAAGAATCAACCTGAGAATAAGTATTGTTGAAAAGTCACTTAAGTGTTTTATATGCCAAGAGCAATTGTTTAGACAGAAAGAGACTTAACTGGAAATGAGCTCTCTAAGCATCCATTTGTGAAACATCTGGCTACCTAGAGAGACATCTACAAGCTTTTCTAGAAGTCAAATGAATACACACAATAAATGTGAGGCTAGAGATAAAGGCCAGACAACGTGATGCTGAGCACAATGTTCGGTATATCCTTAGTAATAAACATTTATATTGTGTTTTAATGATTCGGTGAGAAGGTAGAAGACTGCAGTGTGGTGATGATATTGTCTTTCTGTTAATGAAAAGGTTCAGTATAACAGTCTTTTCACACTCTATTTCTGTAGTCTCTTATAGATATAAATAATAAAAAAATATGATCACCATAAACTTCCTTATAATGTGCCAACTATGCTGATTAAAATACTACAGCATTCATGAGTCACTTGCAGGGTTTTAATTTTTTTCTTCACACTTATGGCTACCGTTATCTAGACTGGAAAGAAAATCTATACTTTAAAATATGCAGTGAAAATATGTGAAAATATGTCTATTTCTAAACCTTAATGATTTCTGTGGCATTAATAAAAAATTAGTTATTTCAGTTCTCTAGTTTCTTCAGCCTAAGAAAGTTAGGGGGTTTTGGGTTTTTTTTATAAAAGGCTAACACATGTAAACTGAAAAACAGAAACAAGTTCATATTGGCTCATTAATATATTAAACAAAATATTCTTACTGATTTCATTAATAAGTAGCTTTCTTCTAGCTAAATAGTAAAGACAGTTTTTAATGCATTTGCCACAGGAGCTATGCTTTGAACCTTTCGTTGTTCATTAAAGAAGAAAAGGGTAAAAGCAATGCAAAAAGCAGACATACTCTTCAAATAATGGCAGTTGGAGAAGCATGCCTAAAGTTAGGGCTCAGTTCATATCTGTAAAAAATGTGCACATGCATTTGCCTGCACAAACCCCAAATTATAGCTCTCCTATCGATTTAATAACTGCATGCACACATGCTTTTCATTTCCAAAACCATTCTTGAGTCTAGTCCTATCTCTAGCACATGCATTTAAACATTTAGCTAAGGAAGGATGGATTTAAGTTTAGGCTTACTTTAGGGCTCAGTTCATATCTGTAAAAATTGTGCACATGCATTTGCCTGCACAAACCCCAAATTATAGCTCTCCTATCGATTTAATAACTGCATGCACACATGCTTTTCATTTCCAAAACCATTCTTGAGTCTAGTCCTATCTCTAGCACATGCATTTAAACATTTAGCTAAGGAAGGATGGATTTAAGTTTAGGCTTACTAGGCTAAAGCACACAAATAAGAAAAAGCATTCTTTGACATGCTTTGTTCAATGGGAATGCTGAAATAAGATTTTATTTATGCAAGTAACCTTTTTCTGCACATATTGATAGAAGTTAAGCACAGAGTGCAAATTCAGGCTACGTATATTTCAACAAATTACTTGTTTTAAAAATATTCCCCTTAAAATTTCTAAGGAGTTCACATTATGTGGTTGTTATTGTCGGTAGTACTGGCTTCATTCCTAGTACATTACAATGTTGCTTCTTTCATGCTAGCACATTATGTCAAAATGGGATAATAACAATGTTATTCTTATTTAAGATAATATTTTCATTTAATATAACATTCTTACTTAACAGAGTATTTAATTATTGACAAGAGTACAGAGAAAAATGCTGAATGCATCTTTTTCTACTATTTGGTTCTCAAATATGAAATATTCAATGCAAGTTTTATTTTGACTTCTCCTCTGGCTTATGAAACAAACACTTTCAGCAAGAAAATACAAGTTTTGCATGGTCAAGCTCACTAAGACTGACTCGGAATATTTTTGTGTTACTTGTGCAGACAAAAAGCGTGCACAGAAATGTGCAAGAAATAAGGATGTGTTGCCCTATAACCATCCTCAAACAAACAGATTAAACCTTCTATTCCTTCTATTCTATTTCCTTTTTCTATTCTGTGCCCCATCCCTGGAAGTGTGCAAGGTCAGGTTGGATGGGGCTTCGAGCAACCTGATCTAGTGACCCATGTCCCCACCCATGGCAGGGGGGTTGGACTAGGTGATTTTAAAGGTCTCTTCCAATCCAAACCATTCTGTGATTCTACAATTCCTTTTATAGTCTAAGGCTATATTACGCAGGTCACGTAGCTGAAAGCAACTTCTACATAATGAATTACTATCAGGTAACATGACAGTAACTGACCTTTTTAAGCTACCCTATTTTCAAGTAAAACGCATCAGTTGAAGCCACCATGGAAAAGTCACTGTGAATCCATATCTTTAGCCCTTTTCATCTTTGAGGTCTCAAATACTTAGAAAGGAAAGCAAGTACCAGTCGTCTTTGTAGAGGAGTATATGAAAGGTAGTGAAGTGGGCTAGCAAAAAGAAAGCCTAGATCCATACCACTGAAGTCTAGGCACTTAATAGGGGCCTGTGTTTGTAACCAAGTTGCCTCGGGTTGTCCTATAATCACTGGACACAAGGAACTGCTCTTGGAGGCGTTTTTTTACCTTAGATTGATCGATATGCTTTATCAGAAGAGCATACAGGAAGCACAGGGACCACTCAGCTTCTAATTTTAGGTGCTCAGATTAGTGCCTAGAATTAAACCAAATTAATCTAGACTGATTTGGGTCCACAGGCATATTTTAAAATCAGTTATAGTAGCCAATTTATATAGGAAGACATTAGTGTTTACTATAATTAATCTCTATCTAGGTATAGATCTATATGTATGTATGTATGTATGTATCTATGTATGGATCTTCCTCTCTTTCTCCCTCCCTCCCCCTATTTTTATCTGTTAGCTACCCTGGAGAGATTTTATTTCCTCACAGCATATCAAGACATTAAAGGTAGCGTCACTGTGCTTTTCCTTTATCTCTGCATTCACATACTTTTTTTTTTTCAGTCTCATTATTATTTTTCTTTCAGACACATACTTTAGGTCTCATTCCCTAAATAGTTTGATGTTACATAGTCAAAACCTGCAGGGCCAAGCCTTTCCACCCAGACCAGTACTGCTGATACTATCCTATATATTGGATAGCAAGAACACACAGACACGTGCACACATGTACACAAAAAGACACCATTTTTCAAATACATTGAGAGCAGGTATTTAATTTAACCAGTGAGACACTTCTCAGCTAGCTTGCAGAGCATAAGTGCCAACCCAGCAGCTCCTATGCGGCAGACCCTGGCACTGGTATCTTGCCATTCTGCTCTGCACCGACAAATCTGTTACCAGCCCACAAATCTGTTCATCACTTCCTTTTAAACCTCAACAGAGCATACGAGTACTTCAGCAGATATCTTGTCTCTCAAATGAGCAGTTAATGAAAGTATAACTTTTGATGCATGCAAACCTAAAAAAAAATCAAATGAGAAATAAAACTTGCTTTGAGTAACAGGAGATGTCGTTTTGGCAGCCGAGCAGGGCAAGAGCTTCATAAGTCGCTCTTTAATGCTGCGTTTGGTACTGTTCTGAGCGTAGAGGAAACCTAAAAAATATATTATCAGGACTGTTAACATAGGCTTGAGAACAATTTCTGTACATGCTGCAGAGTTCATCATTATATCAGAATCCTGATGGGAAAAGGCCAAACAGATGGCAGCCATCCTGAATTGCAAAGGGCAACCAGAATTTTTGAACAGGACAACAAAACTGTTTTGTTTTTGTGTCTTTCCAATAAAGGGAATTTTTTTTTTATATGTGCATCTCTTGTAAAGTTCTTATAACCCACTTTAAAACCACTAACAGACTAACAGAGAAGTATCAGATTATGTATTTGAAACAACACAAGGTAAGAGTGCTTGTAAAAATTTTAATGTTAAAATATTTTAAAAACTTTTAAGTATATTTGATTTTGAAGTTTCATATGGAAAACAAAACCAAAACCAAATAAAATCTAAAGATATCTTTTGTTGTCCTTTCTGGCAGTTTTCTAGTTCCACGGCTGAGTTTTCCCATATAATTCATTCAGCAATTGTGATAACCAACCTGGTACTTTTGCCTTTTCTGAATATTAAAATACCAACCATGATGTGTAGCCAGTCTCCCTTCTCTTTAATATTTAGCATTCTACATATATATATGAAAATATTATTTATATTTCATCTTTAAATACTGACATGTCTGAATAGTTGATGTTCATGTGCCATAAAGCAGGTGAACAGCATTACCCTTATTTACTGTGAAGGAAATTGTCGGAGTAACTGCCTGTGAGGTGTAACTAACCATTTTATACAAAATGGGTGATACAAGCAAGCATCTCCTGGATGGATATTTGCTGCAAATGACAGACTTAACATCTGTAAAACAGTTGAGTAAATGATTTATGTTCCTGAGAAAAGTAGAGCTCGGTTTGGACATTATGCAATTCCTGCACTTTTCATCTCGACTATATGCGCTCAAACACAAACGCTGCTCTGCGATGGCTCTTGCTACAACAGCAAGAATGCAAAACAGACGGGGCAAGAAATGAAAGACACGACTGACACCAGGATAATCCTGGGTTATCCCCACTACTGTACTTGTGCTGAATACTGATGTTAGTGACATGATGTAGAATGGTTTCCTCTCTGTCACCAAACCAGACAGAGTGGGAACCTCCCACCTGTAACACTAAGTGGAACTTGTAGGGAATCGTGAGAAAGTATGTACTTGTATTTGGGAACAGGAGGAGAAGGTGACAAGGCTTTAAGGATATTAAGCTTTGTAAATGAAAGAAAAAATATTTCTCTGTTTGCACACAAGTAAAACATTGAAGGGAATGAAATTAAAGAAATGGGAAAAAACAGGAAAGACTCAACCGCAGCCTTAAAAAGTCAACCAACTATTACCAGGCAAATTCTGCCTCTGCGAGAACAGCAGCTCTGGTGAATGGACAAAACAATCCAGCTTCAGCACAAGGTCAAATGAACCTAAATGACCATCTCTGGAAATGTCAAAACTTTTTCATACAAATAATAAGAATAAATACACTTATAATCTGTAGCACTTAACCATCAGCTCAACTCAGAAACACTGTGCAGGTAAATGCATAAAACAAAAGACAATCTGTGATCTGATGGGTATCTCAAACTCCATATTTTTAGTCTGAGTACAAAACCTGACCCTTTAAATGTATACCTTGTGGTCTCAGCTGGCAGTTTCTGCACTATCATGCTATGCTTGTACTGTAGGTATCTGAACACAAAATTTGTTTATCTTAAAGATTTTTTTATTTATTAGGAATTCTTCTAGCATAGACATGATCTAGAAATATTTACTTCTATTTTGTTAATTTGAGTTAAGATTTGCAAAGGTTTACTGTCCATGTATTACTTACATAACAATATAGGTCCACAACCTATGTAATTACTGAAGATGTATACAGTGCTTTGCAAAACCTAAAGGGATGTATTATTTCCAAAGAGTTTGAAGCTCAAAGCCTTGAGTAAGCAAACAATTTTGCTACTTTTATGCTCACACAAAAGCTCACAGAATTCAATGCAAACCATATGGGCTTTGCAGTGGTATGATCAAGGTCAAAAATAAAATGAAATATATGGGAGAAAGTAATATCAGGGGAGTAACTTAGGAGGACAGTATAATTTTTGTACTCACTTCTGGCAGGTAATTTAAAATGTTGACACTAAGATCAGGGCAGAGGTGAAGGAATTGGTTTATCTTCTCACAGTATGAGGAAGCAGCACGGAAGCTTTTCGCTCCCAGTGGCTGCAGTCAGTTTATTCTGCAGCTATTGCAGTACACCGTCGTGACCTCCTGATCAGTACTACAGCTTTCAATGTGATTTTTCATGAGTAAAGGACTACTTAATACAGCGAAAACATCTTGCACACTGGGCCTATGCTGAGTCAGTGTTTAATACACAGTGAAACACTAAAAGTGTTAATTAAGATGAAATTTTGTAATAATTTCTGTGAATTCTGTAGCTATTCATCCAGTTCAAAACAGGTTGAGGAAAAAGCTGTGGCCATTAAGAAGCTAATTAATCTAAGCTAGGTTAAAATTTATTATATGGTAAGAGATTCTTATCGTATTACCGATCTTCAAAATGGCTGTTCATGAAAAGATGAAGAGCCATGAAGCACCAACACACTGATAATGATGGACTGATGCTGCTTCCTTCAAACTTCTAGAATAGAATAATAGTAATTCTTAGCCTGCAAATGGATATTCAGAAGAAGCTGAATTTTCCAAACTCTCCTTGACTTTTTTTTTTTTTAATAATTTGTTGACTAGAGATTTCATAGCTGTTATCCCTAACCCAATCAGCCACAAACTCCTCTGGGCTAAGTGTGAAGGTTCTTCAAATTCAGGTTAGTTAACTGGTGCTGCTTGCTCTTGGGTTTGATAATTTGTTCCTCTGAAATGAAAATAAACTGTGAGACACACTTTTCCCTAGAATTCACTATGGGAGTGTCCTAGAACTCATCTCCATATGACACCACCTGGAATTGTGGGTGATTGTTCCAAGAGGTGCTCATGCTTCACAAAACATTCTGTAACTGGAGCATGGCTTACGTATTCTTGTATCGAGGTACTGCTGTACTGATGTATGTGCTGCATATAGATATTGGGCATACTAGACATCCTTTAGGAGTGACTGCTATTTAGCATGATTTGTATCTGTAGTTGCAACTGATAAATGAACCAAGGCTTAAAACTCTGATTTACAGATATTTAAATTAGAGAACTATAACTCTACAATTTTATTAATAAAAGTTTAATATGGAGAGTACCATGCATATACGTGGTCAGTACAATTGTTTTCTGAATTGCTACTTTTAAAAATCATATTTGGCCAAAAGCATCCAGATCATTGTTATGTGTGTGACCTAGTCACTCCAATATCACAATGTTGACAGGCTGGTGTAGATCTGACACTAATGGTTACAAAGAAATACACAAAGAAGCAGAAAAAAATTTCTTCATTAAATAACAAATTAATATAGTCATAAAAGACTTTAAAAGATAAGGAAAAAGGATGCATTAGAATATAAAATTTATTATTGAGAAATTATAAGTGATTTATAAACGACCATATATTCCTAATCAGATATATCTATACCTAGGCTATCTTAACTTTTTACATATTTACTTTTCTCAGACGTATGATCCCTGCTTTAGAAAGACAGTACATATTACATATTGCCCTGTTGTTACAGAGACAGGTGAGACTACCCCAGGAAAGACTGTCAAGCCAAGGGATTTTTGCAGGAGTTTTCAGAGGCAAAATATCTCTCTTTCTAAGTGTGATTGTTTTCTTTGCAAATTCTTTGTAGTCAGCATGAAAGCAAGGGCAGGTAGGCCACTTTTTGCTGGTGTAGCAGATAAATCAGATAGTCTGTCTCGCATCCCCACTAAGTGCACAAGATGGACTGTGCTGTGGCTGCCCTTGCCCCCAAAGTCTTGCCCACCTTTCCTGCCTGCAGCAAATGCCCTCTGTTCAAAGCAGCACTCTCCTGCCTTGCTTCCTGCCTCATTGGTGACATTTTGTAATGGGATTTGGGTGATAAATGTCAACCCGGAAGGCACACCCATCTGAGTACTTAAAAGAGCTTTTTGGGCTGGTAATAATTCTATTTAATTGGAAGTTAAAAAACTAGAAACAATTCTCCCAACAAATTCTTCATTCACTCTCAGTGAAAGAGAGAAGTCAGCTGTAAAACTACCTCTTTTTTCCTCCCTCTTTTTCCCTCTGTGTTTTTTTATTATTGTTTACTGTTTTCTTTCTCGAAGTCTTGCTCCTTTATTTGGCAAAGACAGCAGATGAGCTTCCACTGTTTAAGTCTTGCTGCATTTTTTACTCAGCAGTATTACAATTCACTGGCCACATCCACTGCCTTGGCAGTACAGCTAAGCTCCCAGTCATGCTGGAATTTGGATTTTGTTCACTTACAGGATTTTAAGTCTTCCCATGGAAATGGGAAAAATGCCTATGTTGTGTTAGTTCTGAATGTGACCTTATACCTTAGCATAAGGCCTGAAAGCCAAGCTACACAGGTCATTTTCCTAAATCTAAAATTTTGGTAGGAAGTGACAAAGATACTGAAAACCAAAAAAAAAGAAATGCATGAAGTGTTTTGTTGGCATAATAGTTTACGCTCAATTTCAGCTGTATGATGGAATTTCTCCCAGGGCCTTAAGGGCTGGCAGCCCCACTAAGCCTGTTAATGGTTCAGCACAGATGGAGAGGCAAGGGAGACAAAATGAAGTGCAGATTTCATATTCACAGTTCAGGACTTGTGGAAGAGAGCCAAATCAGAGTACGTGTTCCTTCTGTGTAGTGAGTCTGGGAATGAAACAAAATTATGTACAACATAAATATTTATAAGTCTCAGCCTCAGTTCTTTGGAAACACCTGCCGAGGAACTGTGAGTTGTCAGTAGGCTACTTTACAGATCATCAGTATTTTTTGCCAACCCAGGAAAACATTCTTGCCAATCTC